GACCCTGGGAGCATACACCCTGGGACTCGCTTTCGCCTCGGCTATCCCACCACGACGACGCTGGGAGATGACCGATGTCTCTCGAGCATTTACAGGATCAACAAGAGGTACCTGTTGTCGGTAAGCTTGCCTCGATAGTGGACATATAAGCAGGGTGGTTCGACTTCCCTGGTCTCTGGCAGGACTGACATGTCAGAGAAACGGCTGCCACGTCAGAAGGTCTTGTTGGTGAAGATGGCACAGCATATTATTGCCTGCGGCGTAATGGAACTGATGGACGTCTCCAACGTCGACTTGTGTTGGTGAACTGATTTCAGCTTATTTATCCTTATGAAACAATGAAACAAAACTTATTAGAGTCCGACAGACTCAGACGCCCCATGCAAATGTTTTGTCTATTTGTTTCCAACTTTGATGATTCTCCAGAGGCTTAGTGGAGGCCGGTCGCCATCAGCTCTCGTAAGAAAGAGTTTATCCTCTTTACGTACAGTAACCTGACAGGTAGGTACACACAATTGAACTGGTTGGCGGCAAGCTGGGAAGGGACTGGCAAACTTGTCGCGAACTTGTCACGAGTCAGGTTGGCGCATCCAAACAGTTAGAAGATCAAGGGCCCTGCTCCACTACATAACATTCTACATGCATTTGGACGCTTTCTTGACCGGAGACATTCATAACGTTGGAATCGTCTGAATGCACCTGGTCCCTAAAGCATCCAAATGCATGTACAGCGCTGTGTAGTGGAGCGAGGCCCTAACTTCTACTTCACTCAAAAGAAAACAAGAACCTCAAAAGTGGCAGCAGACCTTCGCAGAGCGCTTAAAAAAAACTCTCTTTGCGTCAATGAGTCGGCCAGGGAAACACAAGAGTCGGAAACACTGCAGACAAAGTTGAACGTTAACGTGAGCAGTAACCTCTACTTCGTTTCAATGGCCCTTTCTCCACTATGCTTTCTGCACCCGACACGTTCAAAATGTTAACCTCGTCTGGATGCATCTGGTCCCGAAAGCGTCCAAATGCATGTAGAGTGCTGCGTAGTGGAGCCAAGTGCTACGAAGACAATGATCTTGTGATATTCTGTCTACATGTCCATGCTGCTGAAACATTTTGAAAACAGGTCTCTCTAACCATTCGTGCATTTTGGGAGAAGGACGTAATTGCGGTCAGGTACATTTCGAAAAGCGCTGATGTGAGTATGCCCTCCAACTGTCATGAGCATCTACCTAGCTATATGTCTGCGAAGACATATAGCATGGTAGATACTCATGGGCATAGACAGTCTTCCCTCAAACAAAACGCACGTGCGTTATTTAGGAATAGAACGCACGTGCGTTATACTACGGATATAGGGTATCAACATCCGACCCCCCCCCCCCC